TTTTTTAAAAATTCATCATGGCTCGATATTTACCAGCTATTTGGGCTATTAATAGATTGAAAGTCAAAATAGAAATGGTGATGGATACCTTTGTCAATCTTCTTTTCTTATTTATTTATTTTTAAAGATACATTAAAAATTACCTAAATAGCTACAAGATACAAGATAGTAAATTCATCAATACCTAAGCGGTCAACACATACAYTAATATGCACGTTCCATAACATTAGACATTTTTTTAACCAAAAAATGCCAACAGATATAAGAAATAAATTACAAATGTAGGTTAGCTGTCTATTCCTTTTGTAGTTATAATAATCCAAGAGAAAATAAGAATTTAAAATCATAAGTTTAGTAAAATTATAATCATCACTATTTCAAATTATTTGCATTCAAAAATATTATATTGAATATAGGAATATAATATAAAAATATATACTTTTCAATATAAAGATACTTCTTGATATGTTATTATATATAAGTTATTACTTATTAGTAATAACTTATAACCAAGTAATGTCTACACATAAAATTATTTTTCAAGTGCATATCCTWACAACTATATTATTATAAAATTGTTAATACAGACATACAGTATTAGAGTAATGCGTATTATCATTGTTTTGCAATATTGCTACTTAAAATACTTTGTCAGATTTTCAAAACCAACAAATAGTGGCATATTATAATAATTAATTATCTGAAAATATGTATACATTAAAAAAAAAAAATTAATCCTAAGTACTCTGAAACAACTAAAAATTATTAGCCTTATTTAGCCTACCACTTTTTAATTTTTTTGGGACAACAACCTAAGTTGATTTTATAAAGAATATCATGTTCAATTTACTGATTTCCCAAACACCCAAATAAACCTCTAACTTGGAAAATTCTTAGGGTTTCAGAACTGATTTGGTTCAATTCTTGTTGTGTAATGAGTTGTGTGTGTAAAATGTGTATACAACATTGCAATAATACTTAATAAGTACACCATAAACGGCATAAACATATTATAATATAAATTCAAAATTATAACGTTATTATTAATATAATATACATATTATATTAATACTAATATATTAATTAATTATAATTAATGACGAGTATTCTTATCATAGATATACCATGTTCTTATCACGTCTCGCAGGATGATAAATGTTATCATTATCACATTAACAATATCACTTCACAACAACAACAAATTTACCAATTTGGTAATTTATTTAGTACATAATGACAAAACAGTTTTTTTGATGTACAAAACTAGATTATTTATTTTATTGACAATTTTCTATCGTATTAATTAGTATTAATTTTTATAATTGTTATAATTTTGTGAATAGGCAGTAGTCTGCGGTTGAAACGTCAGTCAAGTGCATTACTTTTCTTACTGTAAAATGCAAGAAGAAGAAAACTTATGGTGAGTGATTAATCCATTCTGTATAACTGCATAAGTATGTACTACGACTATACTGAGCATATGATGTCAACAGTAAAACACTAATCCTTGATTATAATAATTTTGTTTGAGTTTGAAAATCATTAAATATTTTAAACATGAATAATATAATTCATAAAATATTAATCCTTAATTTTATCATTAAATATTATTAAATGGTTGATCTTTATTAGTCGCTATATATCGTTACATGTACCAACATTGACATACTATTCTATATTTTGTTATAGGAATTCCATGTTRATCTCATTAAAAGAAAAAGGCGGGACTAGGTTACCAAAAGACAAGTCTATGATTATTATAGGTAAATTACAATAAGATTTTCCACTTTTCCACTTTGCACCTATATATTTTTTAATATTTATATTTGCCAGGTGATAACCAATGTGGTAAAACTACTCTTGTAGCAAAATTGCAGGGTATTGACGATCTGACAAAGGGAATTGGACTGGAATATGCGTATATTGATATTCGTGATGATTATAAAGAAGGTTAGTTAGTTATCAAGAGTTCATATTAATATATTTTTTGATTTAACTAAATATTTAAAAATAAATTAAATTATGATATTTTGGATATTTATTATTATGAATCCAACATAAAATCATATTTTTTCTAGATCATACAAAGTTGAATGTGTGGGTACAAGATGGCAACCCTAAATACTCTTTTCTATTAAAATTTGCTTTGTCCGAGAAGAACTTTAAGAACACATTGATTATGTTTGTTGTTTCTATGAAAACACCTTGGAATATAATGGATCAACTAGAAAGTTGGGCAACATTACTGCAAGATTACATTGACAATCTACCAATTCCTAGTGAAGATCTTCGAGAATATAGACAAAATTGTAAGTGTAAACTATTGATTCAGTTAAAATCAGTTATTGTGGTAACTCAACTATTACAATTGAAATTCATAATTTTATTAATTTATTTATATCTTAGTACTACAGAGAAAAACAATTTCAGTAAAATTATAACATCAAGTAAATTTTAGATGTATAATATATTATGTCATCAGACATATTATTATCATTAAGTAGATACTATCTAAAATTCTAAACTCAATTATATTATTTTATTTTTGTCAATTCTACAAAATGTAATCATAATATTTAGAAAAGTTAGACAAATTATAAAATTTTTAGTTAAAATAATCATAATATATTAATTTTTTACATTGTAACCTATTTAATTTATATCATTCTAAAAAAAATAATGGTGCTTTGGTAATTTAATTTACTAAATACAGTAAAATCGGATTATTGCAATGTTATATTTAAGAACATTTCAGATAAAAATAATTCCTACCTCYTATATATTTGGTTTGTCATATAGAGCTTGTTTTTGTCATTTGAGTGAGGCGAAGTTTAGAAATAACAATCTGAGATATGCTAACTAATTAATTAATTTTTTTATATTCAAAACTAATTGATATAAGATATAATAATTGATGTGAAACTTTTGGTTATAAACACCCATTAATTATTATATTTTCATTTTCATTTTTTTGATTAATATTACAATGAACATTAAGCTTAATAACTTTTGTATGCATAATTGGATTCAAAATTGTCGCTGTCTAAAACTAAATTCGTGATTTTATTACATATTTTATTGTATATTATATACTTTTATTTATTTCAAACAAATTTCCTCTGCTCAATGGTCAAATAGTTATTGGAGTAAATTGTGATAATATTAATTAAAACATTTTAAGAATAATCTAAATACAATATACAAAAATTAAGTTCAACATTTTTTAGATTTTAAGTTTTATGATACAAGTATGATAGTAAACTTGAAAGGAGATGGATTTTTTTTATTGATCATAAGCTCTGCAACTATGGCCATTAGCTATTTGTAGGAGGGGAACGGTTGGTTTGGAATAATATGTAATATATGTATGACAAGGATTTGTTGCTAAAAACCCAGATGACGGTCTCCCATCTGAGAGCTAACAATACTGGTCAGTATGTACACTCAGAACATTTCATAGTTGAGTGTAAGACTGTGTCACACCAAGCCATTTAACATATTTTGTWTACCTTTAAATGTTTACTATTTCTAATATTATTTTATCAATATACGATACTTAAAAATGTTAATACTATTTTTTTTATCTGACTGAACTATTATTTTTTTCTTATTTATAGGCATTAAAAAATGGAACGAGTACATTGAAGAAAATGTTGGTGATAAAAATGGATATTGGGAACCATCTCTCGGAGATGGGGTACTTACAAGAAATTTAGGTTTAAATATAATTGTTGTTGTAACAATGGTATGTATTATTGATAGTATTCTTATTTGCTTATTTTTATTAAGAGATCATCTTACCTGCATGTATTGTCTCTGTCTTAGTGATGCTTACCATGGAAATTTTACACTCAATAGAGTCCATTTTATTCTGTTATTATTAATTTTGATGATTTAATTGTTATTTAATATAAAATTAATAATATTGTTACATCCCAACTGACGCTGAATCATGTATCAAMATGGTAATAAACACTTGATGTATTTAGATAAAAATACAACTTGGTGAGCGGTGTTACAATCTACCTCCAAGTGTCTTGCGTAGCCTCATCTACCTAACTTAGAGGTATTCAAACTGTGTGCCCCTGRGAGCCGCGTCAAAGCACCAAAAACCAACATCATACCTATGTCCTGTACAATTTTCATTAATTTCCTGATTTTTAATATTTTTTTTAGTTTCGAGAAAAATTGTGAATTATTAATTAACACCGTAATGTTATCTAAATTTATATACATTTCAAAATATTCAGTTTATTTATAATAAATAAATTTTAATATTAAAAAAAAATGAAAAATGAAATGGATTCTTCTGATTGTAAAATTTATTAAAATTGTTGTGTTATTGTACACATTTTGATTTGTTATTCAGACATAGTCAATGAATATAGGTATACCGCCCTATCAAAATAATTTTATAATCAATGGTAATTATTGTTTCATACATTGTTATAGACTGATTACATAAGTGTTTTGGAAAAAGAAAATGACTACAAAGATGAACATTTTGATTTCATTCAACAAGCAGTACGCAAATTTTGTTTACAGTATGGTGCATCACTATTTTATACATCAGCCAAAGAAGACAAAAACTGTGATTTATTATATAAATTTCTTACACATAAGATTTATAACTTTCCATTTAAAACACCTGCATTAATTGTTGAAAAAGACGCAGTTTTTATGTATGTTTATTTTTATTATTTATATTTGAATTAAATATTGATTTTACTAATCAATTACATTTTATTATAATACAGGAATTATGTTTTAATTTTTATAATCTTATTTAATATGCAGTTCTTGGTTTTATGTTTCAGTCCAGCAGGATGGGATAGTATGAAAAAAATTAGTATTCTCTATGATAACATGCAGACCATCAGACCTGATGAATTTTTTAACTCTGTTATAACAAAAGTGAATACAAGAAAGGTTTGTATTATATGGTAATTCACACAAATATTATATTTTATTAACCGTTAATTTTTCTTAGGCTTTTGCCAAAGACCACGAAATCCAAGCAGAAGATGAACAAGTATTTTTAAACAAACAATTAGGATTACTAAACCAGAGTGCAAACCAACAGTCAGCCATTGGTATACCTAGGCAAGACTCTGTAATGAGATCACTAACAGGTGTTTCTAAGTCAGGTGATAGACGACTATCTTTAACCAGTCAAGGGCAAGGTTCTCCAACAAAAAAGGTCAGACAGTTTGTAAAACTCTTGACATTTTTAATGGTTTGATATTACATCACCACCCTATATTTTATAGATTGATCCAGTGAAATCAACTAACACGGCGACCCCAGGTGAAGGAGTGTTGGCAAACTTTTTCAATTCTTTGTTGCATAAAAAATCCAATCAAAGTCCTGTTTTGACCAAAACAACAGGTRAATACACATTTTTGTGGCTAAATGTATTTTCATATTTTCTTTATACCACAACAATTCAAATTATTTTAATCGAATGTTAAAGATGAATTGTCTGGTTCAAAATCTTTAACCTTAGAAAAAACTGAATATCATACAGACACGGCAGCTGAACTTGATAGACTAGCTAAGCGAACATTGAACTTATCACATGAATCGTCTACTGAAACAAATACTTCTGAAAATGGAATTGAGGAACAAATATCTACTACTTTTGGTGAAAAATCATCGTCAGAATGTTAATTCATGGTCGATAAATTATTTTTCCTATTTTTGTGATAATCTAAAAATCATTAACATTTTGTGCAATTTTATTTATTTATTTATTAGCTTAGAGTGAAAATATTTATTTATTTATTTTTATATTAAATTTTTAACCATTATTTTATTTATTTTAACTTAAATTGTACTATTACACAGTTATTTTTGTATAACTTAAGCCAAACTCCAGATAAAAATGTTGTTACTCTACACAGCATTTMTAGGACATGAAATGATAAGGTGCAATATTATGACAACATTTTTATTTGTATTCTTCTAATTATTTCTAAATCTCAAAATTATTAAAATTGTACACCATTATTTTATGTGTGGCTTGTGCATAATTTATTTTTATGGTTATGTGGTAATATTCATGCAAACTATTTAACTAAAAATAGTTGCACTTTACTTATATTAGTCTGTTTTTTTTTTTTTTTAAACATTTTTATTTGAATTTGAATTTGAATACTAATTTATATTTTATTATTTTATGGAAATTTATCAAAGTTAAATTTATCTATACTCTATTCCAAATAAGATCAGCCTTCGGCAGCCGAGTTGTGCGCATGAGTGTGGCAGTATAACACAGCTGGATATACAGATAATTGACTAAATGGGGTGACAAGTGGGTGTTGTCTGACTGCTGYCCGACAAAAACTAGTCTCCGCCGAAGGCTGATCTTATTTGGAATAAGTATAAAAACAAATTTCTCGATCACTATTATTTTTAAGTTTGGTTTGTGTACATTTTAGAAACTATCATCTTTATAATACATGCATGTAATTTAAGTTAAATAAGTTAAATAATAATATTTGAAGTATAAAATGTACTCTTGACTAAAGCTTTCAATCTCTACTTACCTCTGTATGTTTGTGTAATTTTATAGTTTTATAAATTTTTATTTTTTAGTACTATATTATATTTGTTATCGTGGTTTACATGCACTTTAAATTTTTATTTAAAATTATTGTAATACTTTTTGTACACTTTTAATAGACTATTTTATTATAATTGAGCTTAAGCTAAATATTTTATGAACAATTTGACACTACTTAAAATCACACGTGTGTTTATTAGGTTAGTAATAGGATACATAATTTCGTCAATTCAAGGCTGGGCATTAACGAGTTAAAAAGTTAAA